CCCCCCCCCCCCAAGGGAAAGGGGGGAGAGGGCAGCAGAGCAAGAAGCCCCAAGCCCACCCTGTGCATAAATCGGGGGGGGGGCACATGTCCCACTGCCCCCCTGGACAGACCACCCAAGGCTGTGTCCCACTCCCCACCTGGGCCCTGCAGGCACGCATTCCCACCCCGGCCCTGGATCCCAAGCCACACGGACTACTCTGCCTGGGCAGCACACACAACCCCAGCCCTTCCCAACTGCCTCCCTCACTATGGGGGCCTTTCCCCTCCTCCAAACTTATCTGCAGGGAGCTGTAGGAGCTGCTCTCTGCACTGCCTGGCTACCATGTGCATGTGCGTGACCCTACTTGATCACCCTCCTCCCACTCCCCCCAGCCCATGGCAGGCTGGAACTCTGCCAGCCTGCAAGGTGAAACCCACCATTTCCCACATTTTCCTCCTTAAAAGAAGGTCTGCCTTTTTAAAAGACAAACAGAAAACCCAGTTCCCTGATGAACATATTTCCAGACCAGAAGTCACAATGAAGGAGATACTCACCCCAACAAATGGAAGATGTACTAAACTATAATGCATTAAAACCATAAACAAGAACAATAACAACCCACCACTATTGCCCTGGAACTGGACAAATCTGGCCATTCACAAGATGCACAAAACCAGCTTTCCCTTCCTGCTTGATAATGAAGCACCCAAAGTCACTGCAAAGGTTAACGACATGCAACAATGGTGGGCATCCTATGTAAAACACTCTGCAAATGCTGGCAGCATAAACAAAAGGAACCAGTATCTTGCTTGTAAAGAACAATTCCTTCATTTCCTAATTGGCTGTATTGATTAAAGCCAGGAAACTTATCCCAACACCATCATTTATCAAACCTACTGTATAAACACTACATAGACAACAAGGGGGTGGAAGGAGAGATGGAAAAATGGAACAAACTAAGTTCTGGTCGCAAGCTAAGTTTTGCATGGATAAGGGTGTAAAGAGCTCCACCCAGTCAGCAGTGGAGCAATACCAACAAGTCCCCACACGCTCACAGCCTGGACTCAACTCTGCTGACAGAAGATGTCTTCCATTGGCACAGCCCATGCCATAGGGAAGACAGCGTAACTATGGTGGCAAAGGGAAAAAAACAAAGTCTCCAGCTCCACAATGCTGACAAGTCCTAACTGACCTTACTGCAAAGGAGGTAGAAACCGCAACCTAAGCCAGCATTTATAGGAGACTTCTATGATCCTGTGACTGAGGGAGCTACCTTCATAAAGTGGGTACTGAATACAGAAAGGAACTGGGGGTACAAGAAACTGGGAAACAGGTACAAGAAACCAGGAAGCAGTATTAGCCAAGGCAAGCCTCAACTAAACCTTGAAACCAAATGCATCACGCTAGCTTTACTTTGAAACAAACTCAGCAATGAAAGCAAACCCAGGGCTACCCCTCATAATGAGTAGTCTGATTACTCCCTGGCCCATCCAGCAAAACTCACTAAAAAGTATGTACAGAAGCTGAAATCTACTTAATTCCAGACAAAAAAAAGCTTAACTAATGAAGCAGCATACTAAAGTACCACATTTACTTGCATGCCACAGGCACCTTGCCCCCAAAAATTAGTCCTCTGAAACTGGGGTACACATCTCAAGCAGAGAAGCTGATTTTTCTGTCTGTAGTAGAAACATGGAGACACTGTTAAGACAGCTGCTGTTGCCTTTCCTTCTCTCCTCCACCTTCAACAGCTGCACAGAGGGGGGAGCAGAGTCTTCAGCAGTAGCTAGTCCTCACATTGAGGGACTACCAACATCAATGAATGTTAATCATTTCAAAGCTGAATTTGAGTAGGGAAAGCCTAATCTTCAGGGTCACTCACCCTCCTGCTCCAGCAGACCATTCAATTTTTGCCTGATCAGGAAAAGGAGAGTGAACAAGCTGAAGATGAGATTCTTTCGCTGCTCCATACAACCATAATTCTGGAAAAGCCTTCCCCCCCACCCCTGTTGTTAGCTTTCCCAAAAACGTGGTCTGGTTTAGTGTGGTTAAACATGAGTTATTGGCACAGAGGGTCAATATATAGTCTTTAAAAACTAATTTTAAGCTATATTCTTTAAAAACTGATTTTAAGTAAACACTTCCATAATTCTTAAGAAAAAACTGAATAAGTTCTGTTCATTCCCTTTTTCTTTACATTAAAAAAAAAAGTTAAGGAACACAAAAAACAAAAACAGACATACGGCTTCCTTCTTTGGAAAAAAAAAAAAAACCACGCAATCGTTCATTCACACTTCGGTCGGTTTCAGAAAGTGGCATAGTAGCCAAATGCATATGGTAGCTTTGAGAAATACTAGAACTTTGACCAACTTGAATTTCTGGATCTTCTGCTGTATCTCTATTGAGATTAAATTTCTCAGACACCATTTCTCTCTACTTGCACCTCTCAAATTAGTGCTCTGAAGTAATGAAAAAAGTAATTCATACATTCCATTTTTTCATTTAAATTCCAGAAGTAAAGTCTAGACTTCAAGTGCTAACTATAATTTGCAACCACCTTGTCCCTATAGTAACGTGTATTATAATCATATGAAGAAACTGGAAAAAAATATGAGGGGTATAATTACACATACAGCTGCCATCTATTACCCCATTCTTTCAAAATATTAACATGCATAAAACACTTGCTACTTTGAGTAGCCCTACCGAAGCAAATGGAATCACTGAGAGCAGCAAGTGCTACACTCAGCAGTAAGTGTTTGCAAATATGAGCTGTTTTACTGAGCACCATAAACACTTCTTATTTTTGTTACCAAAAATGGACGACAGCAGGACTGCTGGAATTCTTTAAGTCTTCAAAGCAAATCCAACCCATACTACCTACACAGGCACAGGGGGTTTACCAAATACAAGCAGTCCACATACTCTGCAGAGCTCTTAACTGTAATCTGCTGCTTCAGGTGGACTACCTGTGCCCAGAACATTTGATGACAGCTGCACAAAGTCACTGATATAAAGATGAGGAGGAGGAGGAGGAGGACGAAGCAGCAGCAGCGAGCGTCTCCACACGCATACATCAAAAGCATGAGGATCAGAAAGCCAGCAACAGGGAGAATGGCCAATGTCAATAAGACCTTGGGCACCCAAAAGAAGGCCATAAGGGCATTCATAGATGATGTGGTTGGCCATCTGAGCTTGGGCACAACTGCATCCAGCATCATAGGAGAGGTTCGAAGAATGCATGCTTGCCTTAAACTGTCCAACACCCGTGTTGAGACAGTTAGGAGCAGTCCAGGCCCTTCATTTCAGGGCAGCTGCCATCCTGAGAAGTGGAAGCCAGTGCTGGGGATCACCAGTAGAAAACAAGACATACTGAGAGAGAAGTAGAGGCTGGGGCAAAACTACCTGCAAAGTAACCTACAGCCTCAATTCAACCTCATTTTTAGTGAGCCTCTCCTATGCCTATATGATCTCTCCCAATTCATCTGAGACAGGGCTTTGAGAGGTCCCACTAGAAGACAAAAACTGATTTCCCTCAATGCTCACTTGAACCTACTGACTTGAGTCTGTGAAGGTCCACACAGGG